TTGTAATTAAAGGTACTGATTCAAGGCTCTCAGGCACTGCTTTTTGTAATCCTTGCCAAGAATAATCACAATTTTCATGCAAATGTCTTTTGGCAGCACCCCAATATCTCTCAATAAAGTTTAGCTCACAATGGAACTTGGGGAAAAAATATCTATAATAAGTATTCATTGTGCAATTTAATCATTTATAAATATTTAATTTATTCGAATTAATTCGTTCTATTCGTTTTGTTCGTTTTGTTGGTTCTGTTGGTTCTGTTTGTTTTTATTCGAATTAATTCGTTTTATTCGTAATTATTCGAATTATTCGTTTATCCTTTTTATGCGAATAGAAGCTTGTTGCCATGAAATAATTGTTTATTTATGTGATACTGTGATTGCATTAAACACTTGCTTTAGTTTAAAAGTTTATAATATAGAACGTGATGATCATTCTAAAAAGGGAATATAATATATAATAAATCTACAGTGAACCCTCCAAGTCGCGCGTTTAAAAACAATACCTAGTACTTCTTGTTTTGAATTTTATATAAAATTAAATCAATTTCGATTTTTCTTTATAATGTTACAATGCCCCCCAAATTTCAACAATGCCTTCTTTAAATTAACTGCTTTGCAAAAAAGAGACTTGTTTAGCAAACCATTTCCTACAAATATAGAATTGCCAGTAAAATTTTAAAAGATGCAATTGATGAAGATTCTTAGAAAGCTAATAAAAAGAAAAGATAAGTGCACCCCCTTGGGAATGGATGAGAGCGTGCATTTATGGAGGGATGTATTTATGCTGCACCATATGCGGACGATTTCCTGTGCTCGGAGGGATACGGCGAGGGATAAATATAAATACACGGATATATCTCTGAGTGTAACCTTTCGGAAATTGTCCGCATGGGCTGTTATAGAGGGAAATAATTTTATTGGTTGTACATGATACTAACAAAAATTATTGTTGTATGTACATTGTTAAATGTTTTTTATTATAGTGCAAGCCATCTCACTGAAAATGCTTATTACAATTTGACAATTACAAATTTTTGATTTTTTTCATCAAAAATTAAATACGAATTATATATTACATCCTTCATTTACAACACTAAAATAACCCCCTGACATAAATTTTTTATTCGAATGTTCACATGATCATGCGATGCCATTGTTTTCATGATACTTTACATAATTCGTTATTAATTCTAAAGAATTGGATTATCTTTAGTGTATTTTATTATTTATTTTTTCCAAGTTGATTTGATTATCCGATTTAAGTATGGCCTCTCTCTATTAATAATTATTTGGGTGATAATATAAAAAAAATTTTTAAGACATTATTCTATTATTAGCATCTAATTAATCATTGATTTTTTTTAATACATTTTTTTTTTTTTTTTTTTTGTAGAACACTAATAAAGATTGATATTTCCCTGATTTCGCCGCAAATACTAATACTTAAAAAATTTAAGTATATTTCTATATTTATTATAATGTGACCCATTTATTATTTTAACCCTTACAGATCATCAAAAATAATTTAACAATCTTCATATCGAATAGTATATACTGAAGTTTCACCGCAAATAAGTAAAAAATGTGTCTTGCATTTAAATCACAAAACAATTTCAACCTCTAATTTGGAACATGAAAGACATCAAAAATAGATGAACCTGTTTTAAATTAAAAAAAATCAATATCTTGCTAGGCCTCCTCTACTTTTTAAACAGCACACTATCTATTGATTTATTAATTGTTTCTGGATTAGTATTAAACCACTTTTCTTTCAATAAATTAAATAATTTAGTCTTATTTATAATTTTTATTTAAATCTTTTTTAAATCCTGTCAAATTTTCAATCTGGACTTTGGGCCGGACCAGGCCAGGAGAGAACTACAACCGTTATTATCTTCTTTCCGCACACCTTCTTTTGTAACATGGCGCATTATCTTCTTAATTCACCATCACCATCTTCATTATTAGCAATTTAATTGATGATAACAGAGAAATGCTGATAAAAATACAGGAGAAATTTTCTTAATAATTTAATTTTTAATTAAGTAATACGGTTTTATTAAACCAAAATAATAGCATTCATGAATCAATTCAAAGTGTTTAATGACATAATTTTATTTATCATAAAGTTTTATATATTTAATTTCATGTTAAAATTTTTTCGTCTTTATTTTTTTATTGATATGAATACTGAAATTTAAATTCTAATACAAAAACTTCTATATAATGAAAAAATAATGCCTACCTCCAAGAATAAAGTTTTTTATTTATCAAATTTGAAAATAAATCGGAAATAATTTACAATAATTTACACGTGACAAATCGGAAATAACCGGTCCAATGATTTTAACATTCATCATTAATTCTAAAATTCCATTTACAAAAGAAACTTGGAATTTTTCTTAAAAGGAAGGTCCAGATTATTTTTAAGCTGGAATAAGAGACTACATCATCAAGAGTTCCCGGAATAAGGGAAGACCTAGATAGAGAATTGTTTTAATGAATTGTACTTATATATACCACAAAGGATATTGTGGTCAATTTTTGAGTCAAACATTTCCCTGAAAATTTCGGAAAATTCATTTTTATCTAATACTAAGGTTTTTTGTAAACAACAATTTTTTTATTTATATGCGGTGAAACTTCAGTATATTAATACTAATATGATATGAAGATTGTTCTTGATGTAAATTATATTATCACATTATAGTGTTAATATTTATAATACTTTAAAAAATTTTAATTAAA